TGACATCTTTCCTAAGTCTCCCTTGTCCACTTGATTTTAGGCTTCCCGCTTGCTGCAGTGGCATGGACAGACAGTCAGCGGAATTTCACATCTGGTCCCAACCTGAAGCAGCAGGGTTCAAGACAGAGTAATTTACCGCTTCAACCACCACTACATGCAGGCCTGAACTGCTGGCTCCGACAACGCCCGGTACCGCACCGGTCTCTGGCAGTTCGAGGGGGGGGGCGGGGGTTCTGGGCCACTGTCGTCACTACATTGGAAAAAAGAGTGCCCTCCTGTGTAGTGGCAGTCTAAAAGCACAAGTAATATGTGATGCTTCAGATTATCCCATGTGTCAGCACCCTGATGAGTCAGTCACACACGCAGGCAAACAGTCTGCCAAAGCCCCGGGCCTTTTTGTGCATCCCTACCTGACCAGTGCTGTGACTTCATTCCCATATTCCTCATGATCCTTTTTTTTTTGTTTTCGTCATGTGGTCAGATGGACCACCGATCAGATATTGAACTGATCGGAACAGATACCACACTTGATCTTATCAGCCAAAAGGCCGAGAAAGGTCTATGGTAATCCCTCGTATTCTCAATTTCCTGTGTTGTTATGATCCTGGCCAATTTTGAAGTACAAAATTCATGCGAAAGTACAATGCTGTCCAATTGCGAAAGAAATGAACCGACTTGAGAGGAGAGAGAAGGAAAGAAGAAGGAAGAAGGAAGAAGGAAGAAGAAGAAGAAGAAGAAGAAGAAGAAGAAGAAGAAGAAGAAGAAGAAGAAGGAAGAAGAAGAAGAAGAAGAAGAAGAAGAAGAAGAAGAAGAAGAAGAAGAAGAAGATGTATGTACACCAGCAAAGACCAATGATAATTCCCTTCTTCTTCGCCAACCACTCTCCTCCTCCTTTTCGCCTCCCCTCTTTATTCACAACAAATGATAATAATAGTAATGTTGAATGACTGAACCAGAATCAATGTCCGAATCCCTCTTCTACTGCAGGTACAACACGAGGTCCACCATAGCGATGGCCACCCTTCTCCTTCCTCTTCCTGAAGGCCGAGGCTATGGCGGACTGCTGAGGCCTTGCCCTGACGTGCAAAAGACAAGTCAAAGCAGCTATGGCTGCTCTAGCTCAAGGCCGCGATGCCTGACTCTGCCTCAAAGCTTCTTGGTGTAGCTCTTCCCCAACTGGGGCCTTCCAGATGCAGCGCCCACCAAGGTGATGAAGATGGCATCCACCATAGCCAGGTAAGTACCTCTGGCGCTCTTCCTCTTCCTAGTCCTCGTCTCCTTCCTCCTCCAGCCCGTGCTCCTCCACCGTAGCCGCGGTGAAGGGCTGGGCGCTCCTTCCTCCCCAGCAGCGCTGCTCCAGCCAGCGCTCCAACCAGTGTGTCACCAAACTTGCACACCGAAAGTGAGGAGGAGCACTTCGCTCCTCTTAGAGATATAGCGGCCCGCTTGCCTCTTGGGCGGTGACTTCCTAGGCCGCGCAGCCTCCAAGCGACCGGTACCTCCTCCCTTTCGGAGGGAAACATCATGATCGCAGACTCTGATATTGCCCGTACAGTCCCTAGAGTCAGACTGGTTGGAATGGTACCCGCCTAGACCTAGCCTACAACTACTGGGCCTCTAAAAATGCCAAATTTCGTCTTCTTCTGCTCGGCCTCGAGTACCCGGCACATCTACCTCGACTTGGTATGGTACCGGCCTACCTTCTCCTTGAGTGTTTTTCCGCTGCTCCAAGTGTCGCAGGCCTCTTTCCCCGCCACTTGAGTGTTTTCCCCGCTGCAACCCTCAATGTCACGGCCACAGGTAAGTACCGGCCCTTCAGGCCTCCCGCACGGACAAGTACCCTTGCGGGTAACACACACACACTCAAACCAACAAAGCACTCAGACAGGCACGCATAGACAAGCAAGCACTCACACACACACTCAGACTTAGAAAACTCAGCAACAAGCGGGAAACTCAGCAAGGCATACATTCCATTGGCAAAACTCAGAAATCAGCTGTGTCTCAGTCAGTGTTTGGCAGGTCCTTACAGTGTTCAAGAAAGTTAACCCAGAAATGGGTCAGCAAATTAAAAAACTAACCCCGAAATGGGTCAGCAAATTTTAAAACTATCCCAGAAATGGGTCAACAAATTTTAAAGCTAAGTTAACCCAGAAGTGGGTCAGCAAATTAAAACTAAGTGTCAAGTAGCCAACGTAATTGGCTTGCAAATGGCAAAGTGGCAACTTTCACTGAGCAGTCACACAGATGGAGGGACTGACACAACTTGAACTCAGATGCGGCAAGCAGGCCTCTAGAACGGCCGAATCAAGAGGAGACACGGCGGGCAGGACCTGATGGGGAGATCCTATAGGGGAAGGGGGAAGTTTGGCACCATATTGGCTTGCAGACGTTAAACTTTGTGGTTTCCATGAACCTTAGCGGTTCTGACAGCCTAAAAATATGTCGACGGAGAGGAAGTCAAGAATTAAAAGGCAAGCCCAACTGCCAATTCTTCTGTCTAGCAGCCATTGACTGTGCTCAGGGCTTCCTTCGGCCTGCATGGAGGGAAGCTTGCGGGGGAGACATGTCATGTCGTATCGTTGACTTGCTAGTGAAAAGGATACAGAGGGATACTAGGAGACCCACAAAAAATGAAAAGATTAGAAAGACCGGTTCAGAATGAGATTGGTTTGCAGACATTTTCTGGCAGCAAGTTTAACTTACCTGCTGAGAGGAATTGGTCCGTCACGTTCATTTTTATTTTTATTTTTTTTTATTATAAATAATGATTCTGTTCATCTGATTGCATCTGGAATCGAACTGAGCTGGGTCTGTATTTCAACAGTTCATTGAGTGTACCAACTGAGCTAGGCCCTATTTTGGTTTAGGGTTAGTCATTTCAGGGTAGGGGACTGAACACCTGTTTGGGCATTTCCAGCAGCCAATCCTCCCAAGTGGGAACTATTACAGTCAATGTTGTTGGTGGTCCCTCTGCCGGTGACAAGAAGGAGTGCGGTTGAGTCATCCATAAGTATTTTACTATTTTGAATTTTCTGACGTACTGGGGTAGAAGGAACTGTACTGCTGCCCAACAGAAAAGCAGGTCCTGGAGAAGAAGAAGAAGAAGAAGAAGAACACAAGTTGAAACCAATGGCATCTCCCTCTCATCATTTACCCCAGCTCTTTATTAATAAAGAATTACAATAATGATGAACAAACGAACAAGAATCAATGCCCGAAAGATCCCCTTTAGGGACAGACTAAACATCTCTCTCCTTTAGCTCACTCCTCCTCGACTCTCTACAGTAACTTGGTACGACAAATAGCTAGTGCGGAAAATCCTTGGCTCCATGTATATTCCAAGAACAACGCACTACTCCCATGTCTCTCCCCTCTTCACTGCTGCCACAGTTACTCCCCCGGATGAAGCCTGTTACCAACCGCCACCCCAGCAGGGGCCTTCTTGATGCAGTGCCAAACAGGAACTTCAACAAGATGGAGATGTCAGTTCACCATAGCCAACGTTAAGTCTCCTTGCCGGTTCTTACTTGTCATGTCAAACACAGTCCATGCTACCCAACTCACAAACATGGAGTGATGTTGACAAGTACCACAAGGTTGGCAGCGACAATCACCATAGGTTGCTTTCATAGATCACCATACATCCTTCTTCACCTCTCCTCCCATCTTCTCGCAACCCTTAGCAGTGGAAGAGCTCTCTGACGAGAGGTCAATCACAGTGCCGCTCAATGTCATTGTGCACAGCACTTTTGCTCCAGCCAGTGCATAGCGCGCTCATAAAGAGCCGCCCAACCAGATTGCAACAAAATCATATGAGAAACTCAATTCGCGACATCCACAAACTATCTTCACCAGCATGCATACGGCAGCCAGACTAGCAGCAGGAACAACGAAGCGTTTTCAGAGTGGCAGAAGACCAGTGAGCATTGAAGTCATTCAGACGATGACAAGCCCTCTTTTCTCCCCCCAACAACAAATAAAACCACGACAACAATAGTTCTCCGTCCTGATCGGTCTCTCTACCTGCAGGCATGACCACCTAATCTCTCCTCCTCTCTAGTTTACACAACACCATAGTACAGCGGAAAAGAGTGTCGTGCTACCCCAAGGATGCCTGCTCGAAGAACATATCACACTAATGCTCTTCTTGGTGACCGCCACGTAAGTCGTTTGCTGAGTCCTTTCCCCTCCACACCCTTTCCCCACTTCAAATCTATCTACAAGGATCTCCCCTTCCATCTACAAGGTTATGGCACCAGTCTTCTAGCTCAGTGGAGCTATGGCTGACACGAGAAGAACGCTAGGTCTTGCCCTGCCCTGATAGCGTTGCTTGGCTTAGCCCTTCGGGAGCTTGGCAGCAAGCTGTCTATGGAACAAAGTTTCACCTGCCCCGGTCTTTCCTTAAAATATGAGAATTCTGGGTCCCTGTTCAGCTGGTGAACACTGCCTTCCAGAGTCTTCCGGTTATGGCCCTCCCTGCCAGGTCCTTGTCTTGGCCTGACCGGGCCTCTACTCTCCTGGCCCAAGTCCAGGGCCTACTGCATCTCTGGATTCTCTGCTGCCTGCTGAACGTTTCATCAAGCCTAACAGATACGTTGACGCAATCTGGGTGAGACCAGCTCCTCTAGTCGACGTCTATTCATATAACAGCTTTAAGATTCTTCAAGAACACAGTGCTTTGACTTCTTTGACTTGCACACAAGTACCTTGGTTTGGCAGATGAACAAATAATGTTATATTAGAAACATACATGTGGTGTGCCCTTGTGGCGCACAGTCTGTACCACACTGGTGCAACTGATGGCACGAACAATGTCCCAGAATCTTGGTGGTGGTAATTTATTATGAAAATAAAAAACCATGTTCCAAAATTTCTTTGCATATATTTCATGGCCGCACACTACTTTGGCACATGGCACAGAAGGCACACTTGTGCGCCGCAAGTATGATTCATGTGCCTATTCGTTTCGTTTGGTTGCATGGATTCACCTAAAATACCTCCACAGCCAGATGGCTCTTCTCAAGGCAGGGGGTACAGATCCAGGCAACCGAGCCTGTGTCCCTGTACTTCACTCTCGTGAGACCAAATCTTTCCCGTATCTCAGTTGCCCCACCTTCCAGGTTTCTCTCCAGACAGTCCATTGCTTGCTGACGCTTCACGGCATCTTCCGGACCGTCATCCTTGAACATATCCTTTCCAACGTTATTCATTCTCTGCTTAAGGTCTTCCAGGTCTACAACATCCAGACCAGCGTTCCCCACTGCTCCAATCACAAAGCTTGTCCAGTTGGCCACGCCACCCAAGTCTGGCACAAGCTGCTGGATCCCCATGGAAACTGCACAGCCGGTTTTCAGCAGCACAGCCATAGTAAGAATTGTCCACTTGAAGAGAGTCCATACATGCCGCCTTTCCTCGTTCCGAAAACACAACCTCTTCCCCTCCTGGCCATCGACAACATGGCAGCGGTCTTTGGATTCGCACATGAGATGAAGCTCCACTGGCTTCAAGCCAATCAGAAAACTCAGTTTCTGGCGAAAGCCAGATTTCCTCTCCGTGATGTAAACACGATGAGGAAGGCGATGACTGTGCTGCTCAATGGCAAAAACGGAAATGCTAGACAGGGCATTGCAGAGTCTTGTAAACGCATTACTCTGCTCCTTCCGCAGATTCTTCACTTCTTCTTTCAGCTCACTGATGAACCGGAAATTTCGGTCAACTTTTCCAGCAAGATAGCAAACACCCCTCGTCACCAAATCACCCAACTCTTGAACATTGCCTGTGGGCTGTTCACATTCAAAACGTGCCTCAGAATAGTCATCGAAGCTAGCAGTGCTGTTTTTGCAACCGGATTCTCGCTGTCTTTGTCCTGAGCTCCCCTCAACTACATCGAAGCTGTCACAAACTTTGTGAAGCTCATGCTTCTGAATGGATAGGTGACTCTCCAGTGTTTTCGGTCTGATCAGCGCCATAGCATCATCACACGATCGTGGAACAATTTCCTGGCCCTTCTCATCCCAAATGGAAGGCCAGGAATGATTGTAATTATATTCCTCCCTCTCCATCCCCTCGATCAATTTTTCTTCTGTGACAGTCTGATCGACACTCCGATACCTGCGTGGAACAATCGGAGATGTTGTCAAACAGTGGGGGCGCAGAATTTTCGTCACCAGATCCACCCCTGGGAGACCAGTCGGCTCGCTGCAAAGTTGGTCAATGGCTCCCAAAATGTTCTTATCAACCCATTCAGCGGATTCTTCAACAGAAACTCCGGGCGACGATACCATAATGTCAATCCAATCGTCATGGATTCTCCCAAACTCCACATAGATCTCGTAGCCATTCGAGAATATCTCACAAAGGTCCTTCTTGCAGTTGTAAACGCCCTTGTCGTGGAATTTCTCATGGAAGCGCACCTGCAAATTCGGCATAAGACAAATCCAGAGTTGTAAGTCTGAATTGCTATTACCGCCTGTGCAAGGATGTGGTGCAACCCATATGGTGCAAGCATACGAGGCGCCGTGTCTGATCACAGTCAGTATGGCCTACCAGTAGAGGCCCTAGAGGGTGATGTACATGCATATGTCCTTGGGTTTCCGACACATTTGTCACCAGGATGGCAAGAGTGGGTTTGCGCAATGCTCATTCTACATAAATTGCAGTGCATTCCTAGTCTCAGACTTTCCACATGGTACCCCTCACGTGCAGGCCGCTGCGTCCAGGCTTCTGTGCATCCACAATGTTCTCTGACTTTCCTGGTACTTGGCTGCCAACAGACTGGGCTGGACTGTGCAAGCGGACTGACTGGTACTACGGTACATGGGACTGACTGTACACAGTAGACTAAACCCATGGGCCTAAGTAATTTACCTATGGGACGGGTACTATGGTACATTGGACTTGGGACTTTGGGACTGGGACTGACTTGGGACACTGCTACACGTGAAATCCTTTCATCTCTCTCTCTCTCTCTCTCTCTCTCTCTCTCTCTCTCTCTCTCTCTCTCTCTCTCTCTCTCTCTCTCTCTCTCTCTCTCTCTC